ACGAAGATGTTGTGTCTGCCGAGAACTAAGAAAAAATAAATAAATGTTAAAAATTCTCTCTCTCTCTCTGTCCCCCTCTCTCTCTCACTTTCTCTTTAAAAAAAAAAAAAAAAGCAGGAAGGGGGCTAGGGTTGTAGCTCAGTTGGTAGGGTGTTTGCCTTGCATGTGTGAGGCACTGGTTTCAATCCTCAGAACCACATTTAAATAAATAAATCAAATAAACATATGTGTATGCATGTGTGTGTGTGTATGTCTGTGTGTGTATGTCTGTGTGTGTGTGTGTGTGTATATATATATATATATATATATAAAGAACCAGGAATATCACAACTTGAATGAAGACAATCCAAAGATATCAACAACAGAGATGACATAGATGTTAGAATTATCCAACAAGGATTTAAAATCAGTAAAAAATGCTTTAATGAGCAATTATAAATACATTTGAAACAAACGAAACCATAGTAAGTATCAACAAAAAGAAAACATAAAGAAGAACCAAATAGAAATTTGAGAACTGAAACTAATAACTCAGTGAATGGACTCAATAGCAACATGAACAAAACAGAGGAAAGAACCAGTGATCCTGAAAATAACTATAAAAATTACCCAATCTGAAGAACAGAGAAAATAGGTTGAAAACAATGAATAGGGCCTCAGAAACTGGTGAGACAATGATAAATGATCCCGTATGTGTCATTGGAGTTGCAGAGTAAAGAAAAAGGAGTAAAGCTGAAAATTTTTCTTAAAAAATTACAACTTGGTGCTGGGGGTTTAGCTCAGTGGTTGAGCACTTGCCTGGCAGCACAGTATCCCACAACATCAGTTATAACTTTACAGAGTCCTGTGTTCAATCCCTAGCACCAAATAAGAAAAAGAAAAAAGTGCCTCATAATTTTCCAAATTCAGCAAAAAACATAAACCTATAGATTCAAGAAGCTGACAGAACCATTGGTGAACCCAAATAAATCATGATAAAACCCATCATAATCAAACCTATGAAAAATAATGACAAAGAAAAAACTTGAAAGCAGTAAGAGATATGACATCCTACCTAAAAGAGAAAAAGAATTCAAACTGGACTTCCACAATCATCTAACAGTAAAAAAGCAGAACAGTATCAGAAGAGGTCTACTAAACAAAGCTTAAATATCCTAGAGTAGCTGGCAGATTTCTCATCAGAAAACAAGGAAGCCAAAGGAAGTAGTGACACAATATTTTCAAATGCTACAAGAAAAGATGTGTTACCCCAGAAATATCTGGCAAAAATATAATTCAAAAAAGAAGGGAGCTGGGTAAAGTGGCACATGCCTGTAATCCTATCAGCTCAGTAGGCTGAGGCAAGAGGATTGTGAGTTCAGAGCCAGCCTCAGCAATTTAGCAAGGCTCTAAGCAACTCAGCAAGAACCCTGTCTCTAAATAAAATGTAAAAAAGGGCTGGGGATGTGGCTCAGTGCTTGATCATGTCAGAGTATAAACCCTGGTACCAAAAAAAAAAAAAGAAGGAAAAAGAGCCAGGCATGGTAGAGAACACCCATAATCCCAGCAACTAGGGAGGCTGAGACAGGAGGAATAAAAGTTCAAAGTCAGTCTCAGCAACCTAGCAAGGCCCTAAGCAATTTAGTAAGACTCTGTCTCAAAATAAATTTAAAAGGCTATGCTGGGGTATAGCATAATTCAGTAGTAAAGTGCCTCTAGGTTCAGTGCCCAATACCAAGGGGGAAAAAGGGAAAATCAGGGCACACAATGGTTCATACTTGGGAGGCAGAAGAATTATAAAACTAGAAGCCAGCCTTGGTAATTTACCAAGACCCAGTCTCAACATAAAAAATAAAAAGGACTGGGGATAGGACTCAGTGATAGAATGCCTCTGGGTTCAATCCTCACTACAAACACACAAAAAAAGCAAAAGAGATCAAAAGACATTCTCAGATAAAGTGAAACTAAGAATTTGTGTTAGAAGACCCATCATAAAAAAACGTAAAGCTCTCAAAATAGAAGAAATTATTGCTTAAAAAGGATTCTGGAACATTAGGAAGACAGAAAAATGGAAAGAGTAAAAATAAGGGTTATGCAATGGGGATGTGGCTCAATGGTAAAATGCTTGCCTAGCATGTGCAAGGTCACAGGTTCAATCCCCAGCATCACAAATATTTAAGTAGTTTGATACATAAAGCAAAAATTCTAACACTGTCTGATGTGATTCCTCGGTCTTCTCAAACAGGAGATAGAATACCCTAAGTGAAATTTTAAAAACAAAACAATAAGTAAAACTGAATTAAACAAATCAACAAAATGAAAAAATGATAAAGGACAAATTTCCTAGTTTTGGTGTTGTACTATAGTTTTATAAAATGTAACTACTGGGAGGAATTAGGTGAAGGGTACACAGTACATCATTGTATTACCTTTGTGTCTTCTAGTGAACCTAAAATTATTTCAAAATAAAATTAATGGTAATGGGCTGGGGATATAGCTCAGTTGGTAGAGTGCTTGCCTCGCATGCACAAGACCCTGGGTTCAATCCTCTGCACACACACAAAAAAAAACAAAATTAATGGTAAACTGGTGCATGCCTATAATCCCAGCAACTTGGGAGGATAAAGCAGGAGAATGCTAAGTTTGAGGTCCACTTCAATCAGCAAATTCAAAGCCAGTCTAGGCAACTTAACAAGACCCTATCTCAAAATAAAAACCACAAAAGGTCAGTGGTAAAGCACTGCTGGGTTCAATCTCTAGTACCACCAAAAAAAAAAAAAAAAAAATCAATGACAAATATGTAATATCAAACTCTATAAAAGTCATGGTATCATTATAGGTCTATGAAGATAAATTAATGCATGATTAACATCTACTAAAAAATTTGTGCCAATTTTTGAATACTTGAAATTTTATAAGACATTAAAAAAATGAAGGTTTTTTTTTTAATTATTATGTTTAACCTTTTAAGTCCGTAATTCTGCTTCTAGGAATAAATCATAAGGAAATGATGGGCACAGGGGCACACGCCTATAATACCAGCAGCTAGGGAGGCTGAGGCAGGAGGATCATGAGTTCAAAGCCAGCCTTCATAATTTATGGAGGCCCTGGACAACTCAGTGAGACCCTGTCTCTAAATAAAATACAAAAAGGGATAGGGATATGGCTCAGTGCTTAAGCATCCCTGGGTTCGTTCAATCCCTGGTACAAAAAAAAAATTATAAGGAAAAAAATCTTTGTATTTTCACATACAAAGGTTAAGAGCAAATACTGGAACAATCTAAATGCCCAACAATAGGGAAAATGAAACAGAAAATGTACCATTTTTTAAATAGTATTTGCCCTCAATCAGTCATGTTGAGACATCACTCTCACTCTATGTGCACACACACTTTTTTTTTTTTTTAACATTTACTTTTTTTAGTTTTAGGTGGACATAATATCTTTTTAATTTATTTTTTTATTTTAATGTGGTGCTGAGAATCGAACCCAGTGTCTCACGCATGCTAGGCGAACACGCTATCACTTGAGCCACATCCCCAGCCCCACACTTACTTCTTGATAGAGTTTTGGACACTCTGGATGAAAGCGCAGAGCCCGAAGAAACAGTTGCCTGGCACTTTCAGAAGATAAGCGATCTTCCATTTCCCATTTGGCTGCCATAATCCACAAAGCTATAAATGATAAAACACCAGACTTGCATTTCAGTAAATTAATCAAGTTAGGCAAGAAACTACCAGTGCTCCAAACTGAATACTCAAATGAAAAAAAAAATTTTTTTAATCTTACCAAAAAGGAAAAGGCAAAGACAGAGGGAATTTCTAACTGCAAAGTTTTGTTGTTCTATCTAAAGTTAGAAAGAATAGCCAGATAGAGTGGCACATGCCAGTAATCCCAGCTACTCAGGAGACTGAGGAAGAATGATTACAATTTAGAAGCCAGCTTGGGCAACCTTGCAAGAGTTTGTCTCAAAATAGAAAATAAAAAGAACTGGAAATTTATAGCTCAATGGTAGCGTGCTCTTGAGTTCAATCCCAAGTACCGCAAAAAAAATATATAAACAAAATTAGAAAAAGTATTCTAAGCAAAGAAGTAAATGCTAATATATTCATCCTGGATGTGAGATACATAAGGGCCTATGACCAAATTTAATAAGCTCTAAAGGTAAGATTGTTGTAAGTCACAAATTTTAAAGGTGTTATAAGTTGGGGAAAAGTTTGTATTTTAGAATCAACAAATTAATATATTTTGTACTCTTCTCTATTTAGAATAGAACATAATTTTTAAAAAAAAATTTTTGTTGTGTTTCCTCATGGGAAATTAACCCCAAGTTACTACTCCAACTATTTCCCTGCAGATTTAATAAAGGTTAACCATCATACCAAGCAAGGCTGCTCCTGATAAAAAATGACCCTTGGCTGCTATCCATATGGACTTTGTAGGAAGGCCACAAATGGTGGCGAGCCATTGCTTTGAGATTTCTTGAGCATGTGACTCCTGAAATTGAGCATGGACCGTCCTGGGATCTCATCATTAGTACTTCCACTTAGGAAGTTCTTCTACCCACTCCTGTGGTCTCTTCACCTTACAAATGAACTCTCACTTTGGGGACCAGAGACTGGGCCTCCAAACTGATAAGAGCACTTTGCTGAAAAAAAATGCCACAAGTTGTCTTCTGTCTCTGAGCAAGCAGGTGACAAATGTAGCCTATTGTGCAGTACAAAATGTCTGCTTGAGCGTAATACCCTGAGAACTGGTACAGGAGCACCTCCAGTACAGAATAACACACCATCCATTCCTTACTCACAAGAAAAGTCTTTCTCTTATAAAACATGAGTACCTACTCTGTGCCAGTCAACATTCTAAAATCTGTGTTAATATTTTCCCCTTTAAACTGAAATCCCTCACATTTCACTGCCTTCAAATTAAATGTCCCTCAAAGGATTGTACAGATTTTATTTTCCATCAACTAAAAAGAAACATAATCCTTCTTGTCCACAGATAGAACACCTGGTATAGTAACTATCAGTACACAGTAGCCAGAGATAAACTAAGAGGCAGCTTCAGGAATAAAAATTGCTGCAGCCAATTGCCTAATAAGCTTAAGTCCTCAAGATAATTTCTCTTAAGTTCATCAAGCACAGTAAGTTCCAAATGACTTTAGTCTAAATAAAATACAGAAAAAGAACACGAGAAGGACTTCACCATACCTGGCTTATTTGAATGAATAGCCAACATGGCAGAGAATACCTTGCTAAGTTGAGCTTTGGTAGCCTGTAAAAAGAGGAAGAAATTTTTCTATTTCCTGCACAGAGATATCATCACTATTAATCTATAAACAGTATCTGCTGAACCCTTACCAACTATAAATTTAATAGGGCAAGATCTTGCTAGGGACATATCAATAAGTAAAGATACATTCATTTTCTTCTTGAACTACTAAACATACACATTCTAAATTTATAATATTTTAAGGTTTTTGTGAATATGCACAAAAATCATTTTTTCAACTGATGTGGAAGCAAATTAAATAGACATTCAGATATACAAGAGTTACAATGAAGTACAGCTTCAGCCTTCTCCCATTTGTTAATCCTACACCTTTGGGGAAAATATGGAGCTCAGTAATAAGTAAGAAGTTTAAAAGGTAGTCAAATAGAAAGTAAAAGAGGAGCAAGACTTTGCTTTACTCACCCATTTCTTACAAAACACAACATAGGACAGCCAAAGTTGAACATCATCCTACAAGAAAAGCAATGCAGTAAGCTGCCTTGATCTTTATATATAATACATTTTTGCGATAATTAACTTTATTGGAAACAGGAGAATTTCAGAAGATCCAATGTATTAAGCACATTCTTCAGTCCTTGAAACTCTTCCCTCACTGAGGTCTTGGATTTCTTAACCATATTGAGTGAGATTCTCCCCTTCCATCCATCATGCTCCAAAACAAAACAAGTTGTCCATCCAATTTGTTCAATGCAGTTCTGAAATGGCCTCAAGTATAGAAATACAAAGTTTATCATTCCCAGGAATCCAAAGTACTTCCAATGAACATGCCCATTCCCAGGCCGAACTTGAAGAATATCAAGTTACTGAGCTCCAGATAGTACCTAATCATTTATCTTCCACCTCCACGACTTCAATGCTCTTCACTTAAGAAATACATCCAAACATCTCCCAGGTAATTTTATCATTTTTAATGTATCAAATAACACTGTTTTTAGCACCTTCCTCAAAGAAAAACAAGAAGGTATAAAGACCCCCACAGTTGCGCATACCTATAACCCCAGCAACTCAGGAGGTAAGAGATGGGACCACAAGTTTGAGGCTACTCTCAGCAACTTAGTAAAACCCTGTCTCAAAATAAACAATAAAATGGGTTAAGGATGTAGCTTAAAGTGACCCTGGGTTCAATCCCCAGTATCAAAAGAAGGTTTAAGAGATCAATTTCTTTCCCTATTTTTTGGTACCAGGAATTGAACCCAGAGGTGCTTAACCACTGAGTCACGTCCCCAGCTCTTTTTTATGTTTTATTTTGAGACAGGGTCTCACTGAGTTGCTTAGGGCCTCACTACATTGCTGAGGCTGGCCTTTGAACTCGTGATCCTCCTGTCTTAGACTCTGAGTCACTGGGATTATAGGCATGTGCCAGTGCACCCAGCTGAGAATGCTTCCATCAGTAATACCATCATTAGAGGGCTGGGGATATAGTTCAGTTGGATAGTGCTTGTCTCACAAGCACAAGGCCCTGGGTTCAGTCCTCAGCACCACAAAATAATAATAATAATAATAATAATACCATCATTAGAATAAACATTAAGACACTCAAGTTAAGTTGGGCACAGTTGCACACACCTGTAATCCCAGTGGCTCAGGAGGCTGAGACAGGAGGATGGCGAGTTCAAAGTCAGCCTTAGCAAAAAGCAAGGTGCTAAGCAACCCAGCGAGAGACCCTGTCTCTAAATCAAATACAAAATAGGGCTAGGGATGTGGCTCAGTAGCCAAGAGCCCCTGGGTTCAATCCCTGGTACCTCGCCCCCAAAAAAGGACACCCAAGTAAAGACTGGAGAACAATGCATTGGAATATTCAACTCAGTTAGATATAATACACATCTTCAAAGCTCTTAGAGTCAAGGATGCATTTATCACATACTTTCCACTTTGCTGAAGCACGTCGGAAGACACCTTGTATCCGGTGAACAATAGAATGCTCAATTTCATCCTTCTTAAATGAATATTTAATGCGCTGAAAGGGGACATAAAAAACAAAGCCTCAGTTTACTCACATTTACAAAGTAGCATTATTACTTGAGCATTTAACAGTATTAGTGAAGACAGCAAATAATTACAAATATCCAGTTTAGTCCAGGCACATTAAACAATTTTATCAACATTACCTGTCGCCCAAACATAAGCTCTAGCTAAGCAGCCACACTACTTAATTCTGTATTTTTTCCAATTTCAAAAAAATCATCAACTTACTGTTCTTCTTCTCTGGATCAATTCCAAAAGATTAATTTCATACTGGGAAAGAAAACATACACACAAAAAAAGAGAAAAAAATTATAACCTTTTAAATATAGGAAATACATTAAAATTATGAAAGATAAAATATCAAAGAAATACGAAAATGTAAAATAGAAAAACTTTGCTACCAATGAAAATAATTTGTAATAAAATGTCCATAATTCACTGAAAATTCATTTAACTTTATTAAAATGAATTTTCACGGGTGTGGTGGTATCCACCCGTAATCCCAATTACTTGGGAGGCTGAGATTGGGAGGATCACAAGTTCGAGACCAACTTAGAGAGACATTGTCTCAAAATTTAAAAAATTTAAAAAGCTGGGGAATGTAGCCCATTTAGCACCTCTGGGGAAATTCCCAATACTTCCAAAAAAAAAAAAAAAACACTTGTAAGTCTGAGCTGACTCATAAGTAAAGCAGATAAAGAGGTTGTACTAGCTGAAACAGGTGTGACAAGCCTAATGGGCTTCTCCAACCACCACCTCTAAAATACCACTTAAAAATCCCAAAGATCTCAGAAAAGCACTACTATATAATCACTCTCTAAGCCACAACTGGAAAAATTATACTAGAGAAGAGAGCTGAGAATCTCACAAGATTGCAAGTTCATTTAATAACTGTTTTACCTGGAGCTAGGGATATAGCTCAGTGATAGAACACTTGCCTAGCCTGAGTGAGACACTATATTCAAATTCCAAAAGAGGGGGGAAAAAAAACTTTGAGAAAAATATTTCAAGCAAAAAAATCCCATGCAACTATCACATAGTAACACCAAAGCCTATATTTGCTTCAAGTACTCTTCAAAAATGTTTCAACTGGGAATAGTGGTGCACACCTATAATCCCAACAGCTCAGGAGACTGAGGAAGGAGGATCACAAGTTTAAAGCCAGTCTCAGCAATTTAGCAAGGCCATAAGCAACTTAGTAAGACCCTATCTCAAAATAAAAAATAAAAAGGGCTGGGGATGTGGCTCAGGGGTAAAGGGTCCCTGGGTTTAAATCCCCAGTACCAAAAAAGAAATAGAACATTTCAAATAAACATAAAGCCCCCTATGTACTAATCTTTGATTCCATTCTCACTCTCCAGAACTAGCAACTATCCTGAGTTTATCACTTCCAAGAATGATCCTGAACTTCATTATAATGGTGTTTTTTTTGGATACTAGGAACTGAACTTGGAGGCATTTTACCAATGATGTATTTCCCAGCCATTTTTATTTTAAGACAGAGTCTTGTTAAGTTGCTCAAGCTGGTCTCAAACTTGTCATTCTCTTGCCTCAGCCTCCCAAATCACTGAGATTACAGGCGTGTGCCATGGCACCCAGCTATAATGCTTTAACTGTCTATAAGTGATATCACGCTACATTCATCACTCCATATTTTTTTTCAACATGACTTATGTGTGTGTGTGTGCTCATGAACATGTGGTGAAGATAGAATCCAGGGCCTTGTACATGTTAGCCAAGCTGTCTACCACTGAGACCAGACCTCAAAATGACTTCAGGTATATCCTTGTACAAACCCAAAATTCAATGTCATGTTATATAATATTCCATGTTCAATGTGGAATTTGCCTTTTTTCTTGCTGTTCCATAATCTGTTTCTAATTTTTCTCTATTACAAAAAGCTGCTATTTATATTCTTGTACATATCTTCTTTTTTTTTTTTTTTTAAAGAGAGAGTGAGAGAGGGGAGAGAGAGAGAGAGAAATTTTAATATTTTATTTTTTAGTTCTCGGCGGACACAACATCTTTGTTGGTATGTGGTGCTGGGGATCGAACCCGGGCCGCACGCTTGCCAGACGAGCGCGCTACCGCCTGAGCCACATCCCCAGCCCCTTGTACATATCTTCTTATGAATACAGGAACTTTTCTCCAGAGTATACACTATCTACCAACACTAACATGCAATCATGAGGCAATGACTTTTCTCCATTTAAACTGATTCCCTGTACACCACTGGACTGGATCAGTGCCATGTACAAAGCAGGCCCCTCAATATTTACTCTATAAATGAATAAATGAAATTGCTGGATCTCAGGTATATGCATTTCAATTTTATGGATCATTAAAACCTGCACTCAAAAGGGATTGTACCAATTATTTTTAAAATGTTTACTATTGTGATGAACATAAGGCAGACTATGCCCTGGTCTTAATTATTTACCTGATTACTAATGAGGCTTGCATTGTTTCCTAAGTTTAACTATGAAATGATGTTCTCCCTTTGGGAATTGCATGTTAACAAGATCTGCCCACTCTTCTTTGTGGTCCTTTGTTACTTTCTCTTTTTTTTCTCTTTAGTTGTAGTTGGACACAATACCTTTATTCTATTTATTTATTTTTATGTGGTGCTGAGGATCAAAACCCAGCACCTCACACATGCTAGGCGAGTGCTCTACCGCTGAACCACAGCCACAGCCCATGTTACTTTTTCTTGATTTGTACTTATTCACATGTACATATGTCATTCTTACTATATGTCTTATGAATATTTTCTCCCACTTTGTGGCTTACCTTTTCACATTAATTGTAGTATATTTTTTTGCATAGACTATTTTATTGTTTTTAACATCTCCTCTCAAAATGAGTTGTTTTCATAGTCTCCTCTATTTTATCTTTCCCTACCTAAACTCATTCTTTCATAGATTTTGTAAAATACTTAAGTTTTCTCCCACATTAAAACTTTCAATTCAGGCTGAAGAAGTGGCTCAAGTGGTAGCGCGCTCGCCTGGCATGTGCACGGATCTGGGTTCGATCCTCAGCACCACATACAAATAAAGATGTGTCCGCCGAAAAATAAATAAATATTAAAAAAATTCTCTCTCTCTCTCTCTTTAAAAAAAAAAAAAAACTTTCTAAAAATGCCATTTGTGGGCTGAGGAATGTGGCTCAAGCGGTAGCACGCTCGCCTGACATGCGTGTGGCCCAGTTGGATCCTCAGCACCACATACAAACAAAGATGTTATGTCCACCGAAAACTAAAATAAATATTAAAAAAATTTTAAAATAAATTAATTAATTACTTAAATAAAAATGCCATTTGTACCAGCCACAATGGTGCATGCCTGTAATCCCAGTGACTTAGGAGGCTAAAGCAGGAGGATTGCAAGTTCAAGGCCAAAACTCAGCAATTTAGGGAGGCCCTAAGCAACATAGCAAGACCCTGTCTCAAAAAATAAAAGGGGTAAGGAATGCATTTGTGGTTCAGTGGTAGAGTGTTTGCCTAGCATGTGTGAGGCACTGGGTCCAATCCTCATAAAAATAAATAAATAAAAATAAAATAAATATAAAAATAAATAAAATAAAAGTATTGGATCCATCTACAATTAAAATTTTTTTAAAAAGGGGGGGAATGTAGCTCAGTGGTAAAGCATTGCTGGGTTCAATTCCCAATACCAAAAAATAAAACAAATAAATGTCACTTACAAATTTATACAACTGTGTGCAGGCAAGAAAATATATATATATATATAAGAATGTACAGGTAGGTGCATATGTATGTGTGTATACTTTTTATTGTGCTTATTTCAGTTATACTCTCTGAAACTAATCCAACTAATCCACAGGTAGCTCAAGTATTTAAAGAGTGAGATCATTTGTCACACATCTCCTTAAGCATCTCTAGTGCTTTCAATGACTGCTCCAATAACAAGGTTTCCAAATTTGTTGCCTTTGAACCAACCTCTTTAAGAGTCATTCTTAAAATGTAGTCTTGAGGCTGGGGATATGGCTCAAGTAGTAGCGCGCTCGCCTGGCATGCGTGAGGCACTGGGTTCAATCCTCAGCACCACATAAAAATAAAATTAAAGATATTGTGTCCACCTAAAGCTAAAAAACAAATATTTTAAAAATAAAAAATAATTTTAAAAAATGTAGTCTTGAGCCCAATACAATACTACAGATATGGACTGATTAGCACAACACATTATCTTTCAAGTCAACATGTTTTCAGTGCCTACTTGCCAATGTCCTTTGCAATTTTACCGAGCACACTATTTTTGTCAATCTTGTTCGGTTATAGTGTTGATATAATATGCTCTTGACTTTTTTGGGGGACACTACTAATGATCAAACCTAGGGCCTTGTGTGCATGCTACACAAATACACTTACTACTGGGCAACATTCCCAGCCCTCATGGCTTATTCTGAATTAGCAATGTACTACAAACCCTAGGACCACTCCAAAACAAAACAACATTCTCAGCTAAGTCTCATGTAGTATTTGTCCAACTATTTGTTTTTTTGTAATCAATCTCAATTTTTTTT